AAAAACATTCCTAATTTGATTATTTGACTTTTATATACTTTACTCCATAGTTTTAAAAATCTATTAACAAGTGAAAAATATGTAATGAGAACTTATATACTCCATAGATGGTAGCAACATATTCATTTGTTCAAAGAAAATTAAGTACAATTCTTTTCTGAGACGCTCAAAAAGAGAAATAAGAATTTTGTGAAACACAGATGGAAAGGAGTGTCTGAACAAAGGTCGAAATCCCCACACAATGTGGCAGGTATATATGTATAGTTTCTGTCTTATTCAACTTTTAATTTTGGTTATTCATATCAAAATTCCATATTTCAAATGGCCGTTAAAATTAAAACATAACCTTGTAAAAGATATGGAATAACTGGTTTTTACAAGATTTCTGTCCCAATTTAAGTCGCTTACTTTTGTCTTTTTCTCATATTTTGTCCAAATTTAAGTTGGATGATTTCATTATTCCTCCGGGGTATAGAGTATTATTTATCTCTTGTATACAATAAATCTCAATCACATAGTTTGTACTTGTCAAATTATGCAAATTACTTTGGACATAATGAACTTGGAAAAAATTTGAGAGAGTTCTAAACACCTTAAGCATGGCCTTAAATTAGCACATTATAAGCAGAAAAGGAACATTAAGATGTTGTCAAGCCACAAAGAAACTAGGAGTTTTTCTTCACATTCCAATTCTAACCAAACTATGAAGATTAATCTCAATTATACTGAAGTGTGATCTAAACTTTATTGAAGACAAGTGATATCGATTGAACGACTCCTTAGTCGATACAAAGCCATGTGAGTAGAGTTTATAAACCTCCAAGCAATTATCTCTCCTCTTAACATATACTCCAAGAAAAAGGTAAGACTTGAGAAGCCATAAATATGACACAGAGATTGAGTAAATAGAAGAGAAGTGAGAGAGGAAGAGTGGAGTGGTTTACAATACCATATTTGGGGAAACTGAAAGATTCCAGCCCTTGGTTTTCAGTGCATCTTTTGGCTCCTTCTGAATACTTTATGCAGATTCAAATGACTTCCCTGCATGTTCTTGTCACACCTATCACAGTAGGGGGATTCAGCACAGTCTAAGCGCCTACTACAAAAGTTCAAAAAAAAAAGTGGGAAATCAAATCAAAAGGGTTAGCTTATCAATCTTTATTAAATGCTAAAAGGATGAACCCCATGATAGGGGCTCCCCCCACAACCAGCCCAGACAATATAAGGAGGTAAATCGAGTTTTAATCTTAAATTGATAAACAGAATGTAATATGTCCCTACTCCCTAGTATGTACAAGGACCTCATGCTAACCTTATTTTATGCTAACTCGATAGGCACGAGATTTGCTTCTTAGGAAGAAGGAAAAAAACCATATCATAAGTCATAAAAACCAACTTGAAGTTTTAATAGCCAACAGTGCCCGGTAAGAGCCTCTCAATGGCAGCCACATAGAATTCCTTGGGCATGGTACCGATGATCGAATCGAATTTCTGTCCATTCTTAAACAGCAAGACCACCGGGACTGCCTTGATATCATAGTTTTCTGCAATTTGTACGTCCGTGTCTGCATGTAGAACGAAACATTTAATTCTGCCTGAATATTCGGCTGCAATTTCATCGACCACCCTGTGGACCATCTGGCAGGGCCCACACCAACTAGCATAGAACTCGACGAGTACAGGTGTATCACTGGTCAGAACCAATTTGTCCCACGACTTGCCCGTGACAACTGCAGCTGCAGAACACCAAAGGGAAAGAAGAAGAAATCAGTAAGTCTGTATCACAATCGGGTTTCATCGACTATGTATTATAACAAATACCAAGTAAACCTTAAACTGAGTATCTATCGACCAGAAATGAAAATATCCCAATATTTCCACGGAAATTTCTGTACTATGATGTCCCCAATATTGAAATGGGGATGACAAAGTTTCTTCAGAATCTCGAAAAAAACAGCAAGATTTATCGAATAAAATAAAAAAATTGAGAAATGTTGAACATATCAAAAGATATTTATAATTTATAAGATACCTGTGATCTCACTATTGCTTTCTGGAAAAACATCTAACATTTAGCTTTGTTTTTCAAAAAAAAATGATACCGATAGTGAAATATCCACCTATCTTTCTATAAATTTTACATCCCAACATTTCATAAAAAAATAGAGTACAAAAATGTTAACCTAGCCATCAACATAAAAAATATACTCACTATAAGATACAGATGACACTACCATGCACTCCATAGTTACAAAATTGTTTTTAAGCATTGCCGCAAAAGTGGAGGAAACTTGAGAGGTTAGTTTTGTAATTTTGGTGCTTTCTTTAAAACAACTGTCATGTTTGAGCAAAGGCAGTGGCAAGGTTGTTGGCGGCCATGCCACGCCACCTCAGCACAAAGCCTTCTTTTTAGCTGATTGGCGATTGCCTCGCATGGCTTCACAATTTCACCATGCATGGAGAGGCTTCAGCGTGGCATTCCATAACTCTTTTCTTTTCCATATATATTTTACGAAGAGAAAAAAAACTTTTTTTGTAAGAAAGTAGAAATATTTTTTAATAACAAAACAATTTTTAATAATTAAAACACATAAAAAATGTAAAAAAGTGGCAAAAGTTGTCTGCTAGTGCTTTTTCCACTCCAGAGCTTGCCACTTCCGGACTGGACTATTCTTTATTGGTTAAAATGTGTGATGTCAGTGTATGACATTCTATTTTTCCCCCACCATTGCCCATGCTCTAAGTGGGTTTTTCTCAATGAGATTCAATCCCTTACCTAGAAGTGAAAATTGGGTCTTTTTGCTCCCTCCCATAGTCACATGTTGATCTCCATCTGATATCCTAATCTCGTGGTAATTTGCATCATTGGCATGAAATCCCCCAATCTAAGCTTGCTTTTAGTTTACATTTTAGTCCATTTCAATGTTTGAGTTTCCTTCAATTTTTCTTGCAATGCCCCTCGCTCGTCATTATGCCTTTATTCATGTTTCATATATTAGTGTTTAGTTTTACATAACACTGGACCCCAAACAAAAAATTCTATCCTTGAGATCATGACATCCTTACTTCACCACTATGCTCGCCCTTTAATGTCTTTATGTTTATAACATTTCATTTCATCCCCAAGGATTTTGGCGCTGCAAAGCACTTGGTAATGGTAAAGGCGATCAATTGTCTTCATCTTGGAAAACTCATGCTTGAGAAGTAGATTAGGTTCTATAAGAATTTAAAAGGGTATTTTGGGAGCCAAAGCCAATTTCTTCATGAAGGTCATGAACATGTCCAGCTCCTTGAGGGACTAAGCTTAGTTGATCACATTACTATATAGGGCGTGTTTGGGAATAGTGTTAGCGATTAGCGTCAGCGTTTTGGATAAAATTTTAACGGTGCAGATTAATTTGAAAACGCTAACGCTAAAAGCTACCCGTAGATAGCCTTTTGAAAACGCTAACTCTAATCGCTAAAGCTATTCCCAAACATGCCTATAGTTAATTTGAACAAAAATAGCTTGACCCAGATTGAGGAGTCTTTTTGTCTATACATACATTTTGATAAATAAACCGTCCAAGTATAAGTATATCAGGGTTTCTTCATAAAGGCCATTAGCACACGCAAGAAGTGTTATTTCCTCAGTGGTTGCATACTTGGAAGAACAAATCTATGCAACCAGTCCTTTTACTCTTGAACATGGCAACCCTAAAATAATGTATCCACCAAGCTTAAACAAAAGAAAATACGCTTTTACCCAAAACACACTGCATTTCTAGCTTACTTGATTCGATTATTATAGAATCAAACCACTATAAGCGCTCCATGAAACTAAGTACGATCTGTTCGAAACCTTAAACTATAATTTATATACAATCCAAAAGTCCAGACTCCAGAGCAGATAAAAATAATGTAAATCCAAAACCAGGGAGATAGAGAGAAAGATCAGATTCTAAACCTTTGGAGGCACGTAGACAGGATACGCGCAAACGGGAGGCGGGTAGAGATCTCAAGCTCCTGTTGAGCGGTGATGTCCCGAAATTGAGATTCACCTTCTGTTGGAAGTTGAACGGAGGCGAGCGCCGAGAGCGGCGGCAGAGAGGCGTCTGTGGGAGTGGCAAAGAGGAGGGATGAGTGGCACAACTTGAAGCCATTTCCAGTACGAAGATCTGATTTACGTCCCAAAATTGGATTAATTGCAGCAGGAAACCACTATTTCCGGATCAATTTTTATTTTGGAGTTTAGAAGTCAAGGCTGCTTAATTTATTGGATTAAGTTATTTGTATCTAAAGATTTGTATTCAATTTGTATACCGAAAGTTTGTACTTTCATTTTGTGTTCTAATAATATAGTGATAGTTTACATAGACACATAACGTAAACCATTAAAGTATACTCCGTACTTTTTAGTGTAAATATAGCATGGTTATAATTTATTACAGAGTATATGAGTTGGTTATGGAAGGAATGGTACATTTGTAGACTTGTAGTTGATTAAAATTCATACGGAGTATTTTGTTTACTCACCAAACACATCTTAGAAATTGAAATGGATGATCTACAAATCTACAATAATCCTCTCTTCTTGGATATGTCATTTGTATCAATCTCGACTTAAAATTTAACCTTTTCATAACGCAAATGCGAAGTTTGATTTGTCAGTGGAAAACTTCAATTTTCACTATTTATTATTGTGAAATTTACACTAAACATAGGTCATTTTCCAATGTAAGACTTAAATTTTTTTATTCCCTAAATAGCATTCAATAATGTCTAGTAAGAGGAATAATGTACAGTGATGCTGAATATTTATTTGAACAATGACTAATGAATAATGACCAATGGTCTTATATTATGAAATAAAAATATATAATCTCATATTAAAAAATTATTGTGTTTTAATCTTAATTAAGTAAATCCCCCATTTTTATTCCATTAATTTTTGTTTGGTAAGCCAATTGGTCTCGTTTATCCGAACATAGTCTAAAAGGTAACACCTCTTTCAACGAGTCCCCTCCCCCCTCCCGTCTCTGGTTAACTTGACTTTCCACCTCTTCTTCTCCGTTCTCACCCATCCCCATACTTCACCCCCCCATCAACGAAACATCTCAGAGGTTCTGCACAGATCAAACCCTTCTCCGTCGCCACCTACCGCCTCCCCAAATGGTTGCGGGCAAATAAAGCAACGGAGATATACGAATTGGTTGATTGCATAAAAACATGCCTTCTGTTATCCCAACTCAAAGGCTTCCGAAAGTGGAAGATTGGCCCGGACCCGGACCCGCTCCGATTGGGTCGCCGTCGTATTCCAACACCCCGAAGAAGCGGTGGTTCGGTTTTCTGCCTCTGTTCGTAGCCCTGGTGGTTCTGGGTGAGATCGCTTTTCTGGGTCGGCTCGATATGGCCAAGAATGTTGACATGGTCAACTCATGGGCTGACTCCTTCTACCAGTTCACCGCCTCCTCTTGGCCGTCCGTCGGAGACCACATTACCTCATTGGGAGGCGATGAGGTCCGCTTTGCCGCTGAGCTGCCGGAATCGGTCTCCGGATTGGAGACCTGCGAGGAATGGCTGGAGAGGGAAGATACTGTTGCTTATTCTAGGGATTTTGAAAAAGACCCTATTATGGTCAACGGTGGCCGACAGGTACAGGCCAGTGGCTGTTTCTATTTCCATTTTCCGCCCTGCTTTTGTTTCCACAAGAATTCCATAGTTGATTTTTACCATAAATGCATTTCTTGTTTTGTTTAAACACCAACAAGTTTCTTTCATTGTTTGTGTCTAGGATTGGAAATTCTGTGCTGTGGGGTGTAAATTCGGGGCTTCCACCGGCAGAAAGCCGGATGCTGCATTTGGATCTCCTGGATCAGCTGAGACAGCGGGTGTGCTTCGGTCAATGGAGTCTGAAGAATACTATTCTGAGAACAACATTGGTCTGGCAAGACGGTGGGTAAGCACAGACTGAAAAGGACTCATCTTTCTTCTGTAATGATTTTGTAGAGCTAAATTTTTTTGGATCCATAGGTCCATAACCATACAAATCTATAATCTTTGATTGGATTTCGGTTTCTTATTCATTTTTTCCAGCTCTATTTGATGTTTGATTGCTTGCTTGCTTAGATTGAGATTTTGTGATGTCCATGGAAACTGGATGAAGAGCCATTTTAAAGTAAAGAAGAGTCAGTTTGATTTGCTTGTCTAGATTTGTTAGCTTTTCATTCATGCTGATAAGGAATACACACTTTGTTTAAGTTATCAATTCAGTACATGGGAGATGAAAATGGTGGGAGAAGGACGGTTTCTGCACGTACAGACTTGGTTTCTCCAGGCATCTCCATGTTAAGGCCGGAGTGTTGCCAGCTTATTTATAGTGTTGGCTAGTTTTAGACAGTTAATTGACACTAAATTTCATGTCACCGGTTCCAACATATTGGAGGTTTAAACGGGTAGTGATGATTGTTGCCAATCAATCTCAACAACTATAAAGGCCCTAAAACCCACACTATAGTGACAAGGAATGCTTGTAGAGCTAAACCTACCCATTGACCAATCATTCGCACCAGTCTGCCATATGCTACCGTTATGAAAACACCATCAAAGATTTCCTGACTGCATAGAAATTGCTATATTTGCTTAACATTTTTTTGTTTTAAAAAAAGATTACTTGACTGCGTGACAATTGCGGTATCAGTCTATCAGATGTGGAGTTTGAACCTGTGAAGTTTTTGGTGATGTTTAGATGTGAATGTCAAACAACGTTGGATCATTTTCATTTAGATACCACGAAAACAACCACAACAGCGGTACAGATTCAAAGAAGTTGGTTTTTAGAGGATTTTTAAAGTGAAAATGATCACTACATTTTTCTTGTTGATTCAAACGCAACATGAAGGCTCAAGTTTAGAAAGACTAACCTGAGAGGATTTTAAGAGTTAACATAAGCTTTACTTGCGCAAACAAGTGGTGCTTTTCAGTTCAACTTCTATGGAACATATAGCTTGCAAAGGAGCATTTGAGGATCACACTTTTTGATATTTAGAATCTTTCTTATTATAGATCAAATTCAAGTATGGAATTTACCTTCATATTAACACTTTTTATTTGCAAAATTATAGGCTACTAACATTTCCAAACTATATGAATTGTTAGGAGGGGATATGATGTTGTGATGACTACAAGCCTTTCTTCAGATGTTCCTGTTGGGTATTTCTCATGGGCTGAGTATGACATTATGGCACCAGTCCAACCCAAGACTCAGAAAGCTCTTGCTGCTGCCTTCATATCTAACTGTGGTGCTCGCAACTTCCGGTTGCAAGCTCTTGAAGCACTTGAAAAAGAAAAAGTCACAATCGATTCATATGGAAGTTGTCATCGAAACAAGAATGGCGATGGTTAGGACTCAATTACTAGTAACCTTGTGTTTAATATCTTGACTGTGTTTGAAGGGGATTTTTTTTAAAGAACATCATTTTTGAAACAATTTTTTTAAAAGCCGCACTCAAAGTGGTAGATGACCCTAATCCTAATATTTTGGGACAAAGTGCACATTTCATTTGTAATGAAATTTCTGCATTTGTAGGGTTATAAAAAATAATTAGATGAACTTATCCCCTGGCTTGAGTGGTAGCAAGCCCACTCCCCAGGATTCATGGGGAAGTTCACCCAGGTTCGAGCCCCAGCGAAGGCAGCAGCATTGGCTCTTTGTGCGTCATTAGTCATTAGCTTGAGAATAGTATGAACAGATACTACCTTGTAATAGAGTCAATAGCATTCAAAAAAAAAATTAATTAGATAGGCTTGGTGTAGGAAATTTGATTGGCAATGCTCATTTCTTTTACTAAATTTAGATTTGCTGATGGGTAAGGTTTTTGTGTATTTTAATGTGTTTTCCCTTCTTTTTACAGTGAAGAAAGTAGATGCTCTGACGCACTACAAATTCAGTTTGGCATTTGAAAATTCCAATGTGGAGGATTATGTTACTGAAAAATTCTTCCAATCTCTTGTAGCTGGTATTTACCTCTTTTTATTAACTGATTTTTTTATGTTGGCTGAATGGGTTCATGGATAACAAATCTGTTATATGTCATCTATGATGTAAATTTAGTTGGTTTTGAATCAAGTCTCATATTTTTCCACTTCTTGAATCTGTCTAATTTAAGATGATAATAATGACAACATAAATTTAGGATCTGTTCCTGTTGTGGTTGGTGCTCCAAACATCGAAGATTATGCTCCATGCTCCGGTTGTCTTTTACATATAAAAAAGCTTGAAGATGTTGAATCAGTTGCCAAGACAATGAAGCACCTTGCTGAAAACCCAAGTGCATACAATCAGTCTTTAAGGTGATGATAAATGCTGCATTTATCTTTTTTCCCATCTGTGCACACATCTTCTTTAGTTTATGCACCATGTTCATTTACCAGGTGGAAATTTGAAGGTCCATCGGATTCCTTCAAAGCCCTAGTTGACATGGCAGCAGTTCATTCTTCTTGCCGTTTGTGCATTCACCTGGCAACAAGGATCCAAGAGAGGGAAGAGAAGAAGAATAGCACAGCCTTCGCGAAGCGCCCATGCAAGTGTTCGAGAGGTTCCCAAACCGTCTATCACATATACGTACGCGAAAGAGGAAGGTTCAATATGGAGTCTGTCTTCTTAAGGTAAAAGGAGTCGCATTCGCTTCCAATTCTATTAAATCTCTTGCCTTATTTGGTATGATCAGACAAAACAGAGTGTTTTTTTTTGGACAGGTCAAGTGATTTGACATTGGAGGCCTTGAGAGCGGCGGTGTTAGAAAAGTTCAAGTCTGGGAAGCACGTTCCGATTTGGAAGGAGGAAAGGCCGGCGGTTCTGCGGGGAGGAGACGAGCTGAGGGTTTACCGCGTGTATCCGGTTGGGTTGACGCAGAGAGAGGCACTCTATGGTTTCAGATTCAATGGGGATAGTGAGTTTAGGAAGCATATAGAGAGCAACCCTTGTGCTAAGTTTGAGGTCATTTTTGTATGATATATAAAGTAAAGATTTGCTTCTAATTCTCCTGACCTGTGTGAAACAGTACCTTTTTTTTGCACATCCCATGGGCTATTCAAATTTTGTAACGAGTTAAGAGCTCTTGGTTTGACTTCGTACAAATTTTAAGTTACGTAAAAATTTGTGGTTGAAAGTGATGTAGGGGAGAAAAAAATTGTGAGTCACTCAAAATTTTGCAGATAAAGAAAGAAGTGTTTTTTTAGACGTCTCAAAATAGAAAAAATGAGTCTTTTAATGAGATAGAGGAAGTAATGTACACTTTTTTTAATAGAAAAACATGAATTTCATGTTTGTCTTATCATTATTGATAGTTGGGATGAAATTTTGTCAAAATATTTTCCAAGGCGGTTTCTTAGCCACCGGCTTACGAAGCTACTCTCGTTGCTACTTTCTTTTTAGAGTATCTATTATGTGCTGTTTGCAAAATTAATGGTTTTTATCTTTGGGAATGGAGTATTGTAGGTGCTCTAAAGAGATAATGATTATGGGAGAAGCTCCGTAAGCTACAAAACCATTACCAATATTTTTTTATTAGTTTTAAAGATCTCAAATACATCAAAAAGAAGTAAGAACAAATTTTGAACTTGAGATGTGGAAGTGTTGGAGATTGTTGTTCATAGAATATACACAATACATTTTCTTTAATAATTCAAACATTTTACGCAAATTTGCTATTATCACTGTTTTATTAAAAAAACCTCATTCTCCCTATATTATAAAAATTGGGTAATCTATACACACTTAAACCAATTCAATAATGTATAATTGTATCCTCTGTATATTATTTGTCAACATAAAAACATAATCAATCCTAACCATGTTATACAATTTCTAAAATAGGCCTTTTCATTTATTCAATCTTTGGATTTAGGCCCTGTTCTTAAACAATCGAAATTTAAGTACTTTGACCCCTATCACCCTATGTAGTAAAATGGGTGGGAAACGGATATCCGACCCGACCTGTATCTATCCAAAAGCCATTCTGAATCCCCAAAAGCCTTCTAAAAAAAGACAATTTGAAGAAATCCCCAAAAGCCAAAGGGCAAGGAACAAAACAACCTTTTGCTTCAACGAAAGGCTGCGACATGGCATGGTCCCCTCTGCTCTTCAAAATGGCCTCTCTGTCTCACCTTCCTCCTCTCCCTTGCTTTCTTCTCCGGCTTCCTCCGCCGCCGCCGCAACCACCGCGACCAATATATAACTCGCCGACATGGCATCTATTTCTGCCACCAGTTTCATCAAGGTGCCCAAACCAGCCAAGCTCCGCGCGCCTCCGCCGCACGCGGTGGCGCCGCCACCGCCTCCCGGACCCGAAAGGTTGGAACCCAGGGTGGAGGAGAGGGACGGTTACTTTGTAGTGAAGGAGAAGTTCAGGCAGGGCATAAATCCTGCAGAAAAGGTGAAGATTGAGAAAGAGGCGATGAAATTGTTCATGGAGAATGAAGTTGAGGAGCTTGCAAAGATGCCATTTGAAGCGATTGAACAGTCAAAGGTTATGAAGGATGACGTTGACACCAGACTCAAATGGCTTGGCCTCTTCCATAGGAGAAAACATCACTGTAAGTTCCTGACATTAGAACTCTTATTAAAAGAAGAGTGCACTACTTTTAACGATTTAGCTTCTGTTTTGAGTGGAGGTGACTTTACTCTTTTCAGCAGGTCTGTTTTTGCTTTTCTCCACCACTATTTTTGTACATAGAACACATAAGCACATCATATGAATGAATTAATTAATTTTTGGCATGTAATATATGAATGTGAACTCAGACGGCCGGTTCATGATGAGACTGAAGCTACCAAATGGGGTCACAACCAGTGCCCAAACAAGATACTTGGCAAGCGTGATCAGAAAATACGGGAAAGAGGGGTGCGCCGATGTGACGACGAGGCAGAATTGGCAGGTGCGAGGGGTGGTGCTGCCCGACGTGCCCGGGATTCTCAAGGGGCTGGAGGAAGTCGGGTTGACGAGCTTGCAGAGTGGCATGGACAATGTCAGGAACCCGGTTGGGAACCCCATTGCTGGCATTGATCCCCACGAAATCGTTGACACCAGACCTTACAACAACTTGCTCTCCCATTTCGTCACCTCCAACGCTCGCGGCAATCCCGCTTTCACCAACCTGTGAGATTACTTCTTTAATTCCTTAGTCTTTTAATTTTCGCCTCGTTATTGAATTGTTTGTTTGATTAATTTGAGGTTTGTTGTTATTGTTGTTTGAGGTTAACTCTTCTTATATATATATCCTTTGACAAACATTGTGTGCAGACCAAGGAAATGGAATGTGTGTGTGGTGGGTTCCCATGATCTTTATGAGCATCCCCACATCAATGATCTTGCTTACATGCCCGCCATTAGAGAGGGGCGCTTCGGCTTTAACTTGCTTGTGGGCGGCTTCTTTAGCCCCAAGCGGTGCGCCGAGGCCATCCCTCTAGACGCATGGGTACCCGCGGATGACATTCTTCCCGTCTGCAGTGCTGTGCTGGAGACTTTCCGGGATCTTGGCACCCGCGGGAACCGCCAGAAAACAAGAATGATGTGGTTGATTGATGAACTTGTAAGTTCTCTTAAATTACTCCATTTTTAACTAAATGCTTTTTTTCTTCAATGTTACAATAGATTTGTTACAGGGCATGGAGGGTTTTAGAGCAGAGGTTGTGAAGAGGATGCCATGGCAGGAACTGGAGAGGGCAGCCGGAGAAGATCTGGTCATGAAAACCTGGGAGAGGAGAGAGTATCTGGGAGTCCACCCGCAGAAGCAGAGTGGGTACAGCTTTGTCGGGCTCCACGTCCCGGTTGGGCGCCTCGAAGCGGACGAAATGGACGAGCTTGCCCGTTTATCCGACGAGTACGGGTCGGGCGAGCTCCGGCTCACGGTCGAGCAGAACATCGTGATCCCGAACATCCACGACTCCGGGATCGGGGCGTTCCTCGAGGAGCCTCTTTGGTCGGGCAGGGTCTCGCCCGACCCGCCCGTTCTGATGAGAGGCCTGGTCGCCTGCACCGGGAACCAGTTCTGCGGGCAAGCCGTAATAGAGACAAAAGGGCGGGCGGTGAGGGTGGCCGAGGAGGTGGGGGAGCAGGTTTCGGTCACCCGACCGGTGCGGGTGCACTGGACTGGGTGCCCGAACAGCTGCGGGCAGGTGCAGGTCGCGGATATCGGGCTGATGGGGTGCAAGACGAGGAACAAGGAGGGGAAGAGCGTGGAAGGGGTGGACGTGTACTTGGGTGGGAGGATCGGGAGCGGGTCACATTTGGGTGATTTGTACCAGAAAGGGGTTCCTTGTGAAGATTTGGTGCCTTTCATTGTTGAACTCTTAGTGGAGCGGTTTGGTTCCGTTAGAAGGGAGAGGGAAGATGAAGATGATGATTATGAAGATTGATTCCCTCTTTAAAGGAAAAAAAAGGACAAATGGGGCAAAATAAGATAAAAGTCTTCTATAAAAGTTGTAATCCCTTCCTTCTATGTCAAAATGCATCAAAAAACTTTGAGATTGTGAAATTTTGAGTCTCAATTAAAGCCCGGGTCATAGTATGACGACATTGAGACTCAATGACGCATGAACTTCTCTCATTTTAGCTTATATGGAAATTGGTGTGGTGCATGTTAGTTCCTATTAGACTTTTTAAAACTTTTTTTTAGTGAGTAAAGGAGTTAAATTGCTTATCCATGTTGTTCATGTTTTTGTTCAAATTGTGTAATGTAAATTTAATATACTTATTTCAAGACATAATTTTGAAATCTTAAATTTTTATATTCACAATATTTATTTATTTAAATTTGTATTACCCCGGAGTATGTACTTGATACTCTCTCCTTTCCAAAAAGAATACAACACTCTACTATTAAAAAATCATATAAACTTTTTATTTATTTGTACGTTCTAATTGATTACTCCGTGTTTAATAAAATAAAATATTTTTGTTACTAGCTAAAATTTTGTAAAACTTTTAACATAATTTTTAAATATATTTTTTTATATCAATCTTTAAATAAAATAAATTAAAAAAATACAACAATTATAAGAGGATCAACGTGTAAGTTAAACGGCGTCACTCAAGTGTAACCGCCGCGCCGCCGAAAAGGTAAAAAGCACCGTGTGGCGTCCTCATTTTCCTCCACCTGTCACCCGGCAGTCGCCCCACGCTGTCCATCCTCGTAAAACACCTCCCAGTTTTTTGTAATGTACATTACTCAAATCTTTCCAGGCAGATAGACAGTCACTCATTCCGTGTGAAAGACAGAGTCTGAGGTCTTTATATATAGATCATCTCCTCTGTTTCAAAAACCAAACAAAAAAATAGAGTTTTGATCCGCTGCCCCATGCAGAATTTCAACAAGAAGCTCAAACAATCACGGGAATTTCCCGCCACTCACGCGCCGCCGCATCTCGCCGGCGATCATGAGTATTCCGTCATCGTCTCCGCCCTAAAGTGCGTCATAAATGGCATCGGGGGACCCTCATTGGAGTCTCGTCATTCTCCGTGCTCTGCCTCTTCCTCCGCCTCGACCACTTCCTCACCCGGCGGCGGAGACACGTGCAACATTTCCTGGGCCCCGCCGGAGACGGGGGAGGATGAGAAGATGAGAAGTGCAGGGGAGAAGAATGGGGTGAAGAAGAAGAAGAATTACAGAGGAGTGAGGCGGAGGCCGTGGGGGAAATGGGCAGCGGAGATTCGGGACCCGCGGAAGGCGGTCAGGGTGTGGCTGGGGACCTTCCGAACGGCGGAAGAGGCCGCCCGTGCCTACGACCGGGCCGCCATTGAGTTCAGAGGCCCGAGAGCGAAGCTCAACTTTTCCTTCTCCGATTACATGACTGCCGCTCCAAGCCCGCCGCCGGAGCAGAGCAATTCAAGCGGTTATTCATCGGCAGGTACGACGAGGAAGGGAACTGGTGAAATCTGGGAATTGGCGGGAGATGGGGAGGTTCAAGAGTGGCTTATGATGATGGATTTCAATGCATCAGAGATCATTGCATTTACCAATTCTGGGCATTTTGTCTGACCTAAGATATGTGACAAATTTGATTAAATGTCATTTGTTTTTTCCTAATCAATTTTACGGGGCATTCCTCTATTGTAATTTTACGAAAAGAATATCCATAAATTTATCGTTTTAAATAGATTTGGTTCAACCATCTTACTAGAGCATTCGTAATGGTCTCTGCTACGTCAGCTTTAACTTACATTTGAATTTCACTAGAAATGGATTTGAAGTTCAGAGCTTCAAACCTCTATTTTTAAATATATACTTGTATCTTCTAAGATTAAATTAATAACATTTTAATATTTGATTGATTTTAAAATAAAATAATTCAATAAATAAAAAAATACAATCACTAAAAAGTACATTAACAAAACAAGATTCGAATAATAATAGAAATAAAAAAAATTACATTATTTTATAAAGAAATTACTAATTATTCGAGTGACTAAAAATATCTTCAATCAAATCTGAGTTGTAATGACATATTGCAAACCGAAATAATTCATTAAATAAAAATATACATTCAATAGAAAAAACTACGTTAAATTTAAAATACAACAAAAAATTAAATAAAAACAATATTACATTAAACAACAAAATATAGAGTAAAAAATTGTGTTTGTGTATGTTGAAAAAATAAATTTTTTAGTCTTAAGGCATGAATGTAATTCTTTTGTTGTTTTTGGGACTAACACAGATTTTCTCTTCTTTCTTCGTTAAACTTTTAACGCACAAGCGATGAAGCTTTGGTGATGACCCAAGGGGCGATGTTTAACGCCTCTTTGGCGTTAAAACCAACAAAAATGCCCCGGACGTTAGTCCCATTTCCAGTGCTCTTACATGTAAAATATGAAAATATAGTAAATTAGTTTTGAAATTTAGACATTACTCTTTACATGAATATTCCCTTTGGTCTTATTTACTCTATCCACTTATTTTATTTTACAAAAAGTTTTAAAAAGATAAAATTGTGTAAATAAAAATTACATTAAGAAGAGATCAGAATTGTAGCGAACTATACATACATTTAATTTTTTTAAAACAAAATAGAAACATTAATCTAGAACTTTCACAAAAAGAAAGTAAGAAAAATAGTCAATTTTTAAACGTGACTATAAAATGATAATAATTAAACGATGACCTATAATTGAACAAGATTCAGATGTATACTCTTCTATAAACCCACATAATAAAAAATTTTTTGGTTATTTTTCTTATAAATTGGTTAGACATGTAAAATGTACTCCATCCATTTTAAAAGAGTAAGAGTTTGAGTTTACCCAATTTGATAAATCCATTAAAAAGTGTGTAAATAAATACACTTAGGTAGTGTTTAGAAATTAGTATTGTATTTCAATTCTAAAATTTGAACCGCTGAATTTCAAATAAAAAGATGAGATGTATGAATTTTAAATGAAGTTTTATTATGAATGAGAGAAATTCGACTCAAATTCAAATTCAATTTTTTAAAGTTTTCTTAGCATAGAATTTGAAACAAATCCAAATCTCAATTCTACCATTAGAGATAAAAAAAAATGAAGTGAGATGGTCAAACCAAATTTTATTCTAACGAGTAAGAAAGAAAAATGAGTCTTTTCTTTGGGACATTGAGATTTCATTACAATATACTAATAAGAACTAGAATACTCCATAATAAGCACTCCTACGATAGAAATAAAACCTCATTATTTTTTTTGCAGTTATTTATGTAACACTATAACAATTAATGAATATATTTATATGTAAATATGTATTATAAAAATAAAATATTTTTAAAATATATTACAAAATGAATATATTAATATTGAATTTATAAGATGACACCATACTAAGTTTTTTAAAGATTAAAATCTTTGACTAAAAATGTCAAAGAAGTATTTTTACTGTTTCCTTACCATTTACCGTCCGTCGTCTCTTGGCGTGCCGTATAAAACAGGGGAGAGATCATTATTTGGATCAGCTCAAAATGAAAATGGAAAGAAGTACTCCCTTCTATATACTCCCACGTAACTGAAGAAGAAGAAGAAGAAGCTCAAGGGTCATATCCTGCTCCGAAGAAGAAGAAGAAAAGCATGGAACTCAAGCCTGGCCTATCGGCTTTGGTCACCGGCGGCGCCTCCGGAATCGGTACTCGCTTCCTCCATATTTCTCTGACATCAAATCCTTCTTTGCATTTTTTTGGAACGTAATCGTTTTGGGCAAGTTAATTTGATCTCTATCTGGAAGTGGGTAGATTGAGCATACCCAATTTTGAAGAAAAAAAATGGACTTTTGATCTATTCGTATCAATCTTCTATTCAAATGAAGTTCAGTTTTGATTCAGATTGACTAGTTTAAATTAAAAGATTTCCAATCTAAGCTTTAAGCGTGTCGTGGATGATGGCCTTAATGGTTGTCTCAGTAACTCAGTTTCTGCTTGTTTCATGTGCCACACATACAGGTAAAGCACTTTGCTTGGCACTTGCTCAAAAGGGAATCTTCCTCACCATCATTGATTTCTCTGTGGAGAAGGGAAATGAAGTTGCATCTCTGGCAGAGAAAGAGATTTCTAAATTCCATGGAGACTTGGAGTTTCGGCCTGCCACCTTTATCAAATGTGATGTTACTAAGAGAGGTGAGTAGAGCTTGAATGTTATTTGATTCTGTTATTTGGGAATATAAAATTTATTGTGGTGCTTGACTTGTGGAACGTTGAAATTTGGAGCAGGAGAACTAAAATCGGCTTTCGAGAAGCACTATGAAACATATGGAGGGCTGGACATCTGCATTAACTCTGCAGGATTGGCAAGTAGGGTGCCTTTCTTTAAGGACCAGACTGATGGAGATAATACTTGGAGGCACACACTTAATGTTAACCTCATTGCTGTTATTGATTGCACTAAATTTGCCGTGAGTTTGGTTTTTTAAAAATTTGATCCCATGATCTTGAGTGTTTTTTATTGGTCAGTGAAGAAGTGTAATTTAAACATTTGGCACAGATCCAAATGATGCAAAACACACGAAAGCCCGGTGTGATCATAAACTTGGGCTCTGCTTCAGGGCTGTATCCAATGTATTTCGACCCTATATATTCTGGTTCAAAAGGTTAGTTAGCTTCTTCATGGCCATATGGGTCACCCATTGTATCCTTTTTCCGAGCTTTGGGTTGTTCCTTTTTCACTTTTTTTGCTTTAACTTCATGCCAAAGTGTTGAAAATTTATAGGGGGTGTTGTCATGTTCACGAGATCACTTGCTCCATACAAACGTCAAGGTATACGCGTAAACGTGCTTTGCCCTGAGGTAAAAAAACTCTTCACGCATCTCCTCTATTTTGTAATGGTTGTTAATGGGGCTATTGTTGTCTTCTTCTTTTTCCAGTTTGTTCAAACTGCCCTGGTTTCAAAGGTGAATCAAGACTTTATTAATCACATAGGGGGGTATGTGCCAATGGACATGGTTGTGAAAGGTTTGTACTTTTATGTTGTTCCTACTTTACATACATGTTTGACCTCAGCTTCTACAAACTCTTGAGAAAGGGGTCTCAAGAAAAACAACAAAACTGTTTTAGAGTTTCATTTCTGTTTTCATTTCAAGTTTATGCATCAGATTTGTATGATAATGTCATATGGTATAATAGAAGTAGCTTAAGTAGTCACTTTATTTAGACATCGTATTCTAGTTATGATGTTCAGACAGTAACTTTTCAGGTGCTTTTGAACTTATCTCAAATGAGAACAAGGCAGGGTCATGTCTTTGGATTTCCAATCGCAGAGGATTGGAGTATTGGCCAACTCCAGCTGAAGAAGCAAAATACCTTATTCATTCTTCTAAATTGAGAAGAATAACTTCAACATTTGTCCCACCAAATTTTCAAATTCCGCAAAGCTTTGAGAAGATGTAAACCGTTTCCCTCATCTTCATTGGGCAAGCTTGCTCGTTTGCTAGTAGCCTGTTTGTGATTAAATACTTCATTTTTCTTCATGAGAATAAGCCGGAGTTTTACAAACTGTTGGCCCTTACTTTTCCTCTAACTTTTCTTATGTAGAGTTGTTCATACTTTGAGTCACAATTTCCGAAGTGCCACACGAGTTGTGCGTGTGCAATTGAAATTGCCCCTCAAACCACACCATGTTCTTCTTAAGGTCATTTATGCTGGTGTCAATGCTAGTGATGTAAGTTTTACCGTATGCATTTATTAAATTACTTTATATTTTACTCAAAAGTGTTGTATATGTTTTTAGCATTCTGGTTTGTTTATTGGTGCTCAATGTTTAGTGATCAAGGCTAGGCTGGTGGCCTGAGCCACCTCTTGGCATTGCAGCGGAAACTAGAAAGGAAAAAAACAAGTACTGAAGGAAGAAAAAAACACTATTTTTGATGAATTGATATTATTACTGTAAATGTTTGATACACTGTATCAATGTATATATAATGAAGGAAAAGAAATAATTGAGCTACTTATCAGAGGTAGAGTAGGACCAAGAGCTGTGTTCGTGTGAGGAAAAGCATTTGAGAAGTGTAAGTGCAATAATATACTTGAACAACAGATAATCTATGAATTTTGAAACAGGTAAATTTTAGCTCTGGCCGTTACTTCAGTAATGATAAAGATCTTGCTTCCCGCCTTCCATTCGATGCTGGATTTGAGGTGCGATGAAGATTCTCCAACTATCATTTGACTTTTTAGAATTAATATCTTAGATTAAAAAATAACCGTATTGGTGTTGTATTTCTTTGTTCGTGCAAGATGCATCTTTGCATCTTTTTTTTCATGATATAATAAAAATATTACGGGCTATGATCTCCGACACTTCATAATTTATGCTTTGGATTCAGTTGGCTTTGCTTCCTCATGGGTTACTTAACATTTTAAAAAAACATTTTTTGTCTGTTCAATAATTCCACAATTCCGTTGCAGGCTGTGGGGATAGTTGCTGCGATTGGTGATTCTGTAAGAGGTTTGAAGGTTGGCACTCCAGCTGCCATTATGACATTCGGTGGCTATGCTGAATTCGCCATGGTACCATTAATAATTGTCTCTGTTTGTGTGTGTGTGTCAAATTTTTTTATATTTTTCACCATTAGTTGTTGGGGAAGTCTTAAAAGAAGCAACCTCCACCTTATTCAGGTACCAGCCAAACACATCCTTCCAATTCCAAGACCCGATCCAGAAGTAATTGCAATGCTTACGTCTGGACTCACAGCATCAATTTCTGTAGAAAAGGTTCTTTTTATTTTGATTTTAAACTTTTAGCCCCTTTTTTCCAATTGCATTGGACTATTAACTTCTTAAATTCATTTTACAACTGATGTTCTTGATTTCAGATAACACACACTAGCCCTGTCTTGACTAATACAATCTCGTTTTTTTTTTCATGTACTTCCAGGCTGCTCAAATGGAATCAGGAAAGGTGGTACTTGTTACTGCTGCTGCTGGAGGTACGGGGCAATTTGCCGTGCAGGTATCATGTTGGAAGAATTTGCAGTTTTCTGTGCAGGTTAAAAGGGGTTCTCCTTTTCATCTTTGTAATACACGGAGTATGATAAATATTCATTACAGCTTGCAAAGTTAGCTGGAAATACTGTGGTTGCAACTTGCGGAGGTAATGCAAAGGCCAATTTGTTAAGAGACTTGGGTGTCGATCGTGTAATTGACTACACAAAAGAGGATATAAAATCTGTGAGTCTAGCTTTCCTCTATATCTTGTAGCTTTCATGTTGATGGTTGAAGTGAAGTGCTTTGTTTCAACTGAGTAGTGAGTAGTGGGAAATGTGCTTCTGCACTAATTGATCACTTTACGCGCTCCCAATCATTTTAACTTTACATATATCTTAATTATATACTTGAAACAGGTTCTGAAGAAGGAATTCCCAAAAGGAGTTGATATCGTGTATGAGTCCGTTGGTGGTAAAATGTTTGACTTATGCCTCAATGCTTTAGCAGTTTATGGTCGACTTGTTGTCATTGGAATGATTTCTCAGGTACGGTAATTTTCTTCACCACTTCAAAAATCCCCGTCTAGACCCACCTAGGTATTTTTATTACATGGAATTCCTCCATAGCGTGAAACAACTCATAACCTTTTCATTTAGAGCCTGTTTTATAACAGCCGAAATGGCTGAATATTCTGGATTTGTTGATATTGTAGATGAAATGACTAAGTTAAGTAAAAACATTACCCAAGAATGAAGAAAGAAGTGTGATTCTCTTTTATTCGAGTCATTTCAGCAAAAAAAATATATACTCCGTATTTGCATTACTTCTTCCATCATTACTCATTAGTCAATTCAAGTCAGCACCGGTGAAATAATTTAGAAAATTTTGGCTGATTTAGTTCAGGAAAGGTTGACCAAACAGGTTTTATCCTTCAATTCTCCGGTTAACATCAACCTTGTGTACCAATGGGTGCGTTTATGATCCACTGCTTGATCAGTGTCACATTCTAAGGTCAACTGAGAGTTGTTGTTGTTTCAGTATCAAGGAGAGCATGGTTGGAAACCACAAAACTACCCCGGATTATGTGAAAAGCTTCTGGCTAAAAGTCAAACTGTGGTACGCCGTCTCAATCTGTCTCATTTGATTCATACTCTGATAAACATGTTTGTTTTGTGCTATAGATTTCTGTATTTGTAGTAGTAATTCGGTGGTGCTATTGTTTTCAGGCCGGGTTTTTCCTAGTGCAATATGCCCATCTTTGGCAAGAGCATTTGAGTAGGTTGATATATCTTTTTTCGTCTGGAAAGCTGAAAGTAAGTACATACACATTTCCCAACACAATATACATATATATGTCTGATTAGTCATGTGTTATTGTTTGAGTGGGGCATCTCCTGAAAACAGTTAATTTACTCTCTAAGTAGGAGTAAGGTCTTATATGTCTGATTGGTACCCACTCTGTCCCAAAAAGAGTAGCCTATTGTTGTTTATAATGTTTGACTGAAGTTATTTTCAATTTAATTTATTTTAAAAATTTGTAAGGAATTAAAAATTAATATTTATATTTAGAAACTATATCAAAAGTTGTACGAGTATAAAACAAGAGGTGTCAGGACTAAATCATTTTCTCAAATGGGTCACGAAATGAGCCAAGAATGTGGTTAAAGTTTGACCCTGCCAATAGTAAACATGCAATTCAAATTGGGGGCCTGTTTGGGAATAGCGTTAGCAATTAGCGTTAGCGTTTTGAAAAAGCTATCTACGGGCAGCGTTTAGCGTTAGCGTTTTCAAAGTGATCTACACCGTTGAAATTTTATCCAAAACGCTAACGCTAATCTATAACGCTATTCCCAAACAGACCTTGGGACTTAGGCTGTTTTTGCATGCGTTTGCCGCTCAATATTAAGTGTCGGTTTATGACACCATTAAGGATCTTTAATTGTCCTACATATGCCAAAGGTTGCCATAGATCCTAAAACATTTGTGGGCATCCCTTATGTTGCTGATGCTGTCGAGTATCTTCATTCCGGTAAAAGCACTGGCAAGGTACGAACGTTTCACACTACTTCACTGATGTTTTCTATGCTAGCATTTTTTTCTTCTTTTTTTAATTCTAAATTCGCTTCGATAACTGCCTCTGAGAACAAATGAAATTAAAATGATGCAGGTTGTTGTTTGCATTGATCCGTCATTCAGCCAACAGGTCGCTAAGCTGTAAACGCACCGCACCCTTTTTCTCTCTTTTTGGCAAAACTGTGAGTAGTAATTGCACATTTTTGGAAAAGAATAAGATATGATAAAGATGAAAACAGTGCACTTATCAAAAGTCATTAAGGTTATCATTAGTAAAACCGGTATTCAATAATGTTATTCGTTATGAAAATTGTTAGCATTGTTTTGTTGTGCTAATAGAATGAAGCGAAAACTAGCAAGACCGATATTCAATAATGTTATTCGCTATGAAAATTGTTAGCTTTGTTTTGTCGTGCCAATAGAATGAAGCAAAAACTGAAATGAACGATAGTTGTAATTTGTGGTATTATGATCTTTTATTTCTTATTCTGTTTTCCATTTGTATTGTTTTGTACTCTGTGGAATAGAGTGAATGATGGAACATTAAACTTCATCTCATATATTTTCTATGAAGTTTGAAGTTTTGGATAGTTAACGAAATAATGCAATAAGGATATTACACTCTGTGTTTAGATATGCTCTCTTTGTTCCATAAATATTTTTTGGGTTGATTTTCATGGAGTTTAAGAAAGGTATTGAAAAATAGAAAAAATATGGATGAGTTTTGTTAATAAAAAAAGAAATTTTTAGTCACATTTTCTTTTATTTTAAATATTTTTTTTTGAGACAAATGAAAAAGGGAGTTTTTAGGGTGGAGGGAGTAAAATTGAGTGCATTTGACTCTCCACACCCTGAGTTGCGAAACATGCGATACTATGTAGATAGAACGTATCGTATCATGCGTATAACAATAATGAATAGTATGACGTGTACAACAATATAATGATGTGTCACCCATATATTGGGGAAGATAATATTGGAGTGTTTATTTTAAGGCTCGCGGAATTCAAATTATAGAATTGGAATTGAAGTTTTTAATTCTAATTCTGGTGTTTGGTAGTACAAAAATTATGTAGATTTGGAATTAATAGTGCAAAAAATGAATGAAAATGGGTGAATTCAATTCTATGGAATTGAATCTCATTAAATTTTAATTTCAATTCAATTTCAATTCTGTATACTAAACGGACCCTAAGAGTTTGTTCGTTACATGAAATTGACAGAACTGCATTGAATTGAGAGTTATCTATGGAATTAATTGGCATATCTTTGGCACTACCAATTTCAAATTCCAAATTCACATATTTTTGTGCTATCAGAAAGTAGAATTAGAATTGTTCTTTTAATTCTAATTTTATAGTTTGAATCCTGTATACCAAACGGAACTCAAGAGAATTTTATACTCCCTCCGTCTCAAATTAAACTGTATGTTTAGAAACAAAACAATTAAAAAGTGTACTCCCTCCGTCTCAAATTAAACTGTATGTTTACTATTCACAGGGTTAAACTTCATTCACTTCCTTTCTCTATTTTCGTTAATCATCGTAAAATAATAGAATTATGTCATAACTAGTTTATAACTAGTTTTATAGATCTTTTGGTCTAGTTTTAAATATTTAATTTTTATATTTTAATTCTACACTATTTTTCATATAAAACGATTTGAAAATAATTTCAATATAACATCGTAAATCAAAACAGGCAATTTAAATTAAGATGAAGAGAGTAAAATATAAATGCTCATTTTTGTATTTTTTTTCTCCATGTGGGAAGGTCCATGACTCCATTATTTCACATATGTCCAAATGGAAGAAGTGTAAACCAGCGACACAAAACCATTGCCAATATTGCCAAGTCTGAATAACCATCATCAACTCATTTCATGTACAAAGGCAAAATAAACTCACTGTATAGGCATCCAAATAGTTCACGCACAAAGTGTGTTGAAGAATCACTTTCAGTTAAAAATAATAATACAATTAACAAAACAGAAATATAATCTGATAGCCATTTTGGTTTTTGCTTTCCTCGCATGCCTCTTCTTCATGTGGCAATTCTTCGTTGCACGAAAACCATACGGAGTGAAGAAAAAAAATGATGGCAAGATCATCGTCATCATCATCATCATCCATATGGTTCCTATAAATCACTGGCTCGCCTTCGTAGTTCATTCAGTTCTTTCTCAATATCGGCATCCTGAAACTGCAATGACCTTGTTCCAGCAACAGGTGTTCTCCCAGGTGGAAGTTCACCTTTCTACTCATCAATAGAAGCATAGCATGTAAGAAACAACTACAACATCAAACCCGGTAAATATCTTGATAGGAATTAGACTCACTCTTATATTCTAACAGTTTCAATAAAGAAGGGTTTACTATCATTGAGTGCTAAAAAACTCACATGGAAAAGCTCAAAAACCCATCAGTGCGGTGCAAAAATTTTCCAAATGCAAGAAATTTACTCACCGCCATGAAAGAATATAGAAGAAAATACCTTGGTCTTTCCAGCAATTTCTTTCTTTAAATCAGCCAGATCACTGTCAACTGAAGAGCTCTCCAACAATGCAAACTGAAAAAGGAGAAAAAAAAAAAGGAAGCAACGATATAATCCAGATATAGTTCGACAGACTTGATTATGGCAAATTGAAATTACAAGAAAACAATTATAGCCAGGCTTGTTTTTAAAAAAACAGAGCCATACATACATCCAGGTTATATATGAAATATTCACCTCAACTTCTGAATTGATTTTATAAGAGCAATTAGGCCAGGAAATATATATATCCAATCACTATGCTTTTTGGTTGTCATTATGACAGCAGGGGAGTATCCAGAATATTATGTGAGGGGCAGAGCCAACGAGTCTGGGGGTAGTACAAAATTGTAAAGCAAAAGTCTGAGTATCAAAATTAACGTTACATTGTGACAAAATCTTCAAGTTACAAAAAGGTACTATAATTAAAAAAACAATCTCAAGAATAATCCAGATAAAGTACACTTTTGCATCGTTTCAATTCGAAATAGTGTGATATCACCTCATTTGAAACACAGTCAACAGTTCCTTTTGCAACATATGGAACCAAACAATCATTTTGAACATAAAAAGCTCAAAATAAGGCTGTTTTGGGGTTTAAAAAATAATTTTTTTTGACAAAACAACAATTTGGATTTCTGTATGCTTTTTCAGTCTGCCCCCATGTTCTATACGGCGTATATGACAGCAGAAAAATATGAGGACGCTCACCTTTCCTTCAAGCTCATCACTTGTTAGCTGGTTAAGAGCATCCGCTTGAGACTCCATTGCCAAAACTATCAAGAGAAAAAAATTCCATTGTCAGCCATTGGACTTCATTGCTACTACTACTACTAAATCAGAGACAAATAAAGTACCTTTTTCCTCCATTCTTTCAAATGCTGAAAGGGCACTGCTAGTGTTCACGTTACCCAGCATTTCAGATACTTTGGTTGCAGTCCTGAAGGGGAGACAATTAGTGGCTTAATTATTAATGTAATAAAATATGAAAACAAATAAATATTGGGCAACTAGAATGTTGCTGATAAATTGACAAGAAATGTTACGATGCTACATCCAATAAAGACACTAGGGTAAAACTACAAGGAGCGAGAACCCACTTAGCAGACTGAGCACGGGCTCTTAGTGTATCCTTTTTTGACTTTGCTTCCTGTATCTTACTCTCTAAAAGCTGTTGAGCCATAAATAAAAGTCAAACAAATGGATAATTGTTTACAATTAATTTGCATATTATTGTAAAATCAAACAAGAAAGGCTTCTTAGCGGAGAACCCGTGTATTGTTGACCAGATTGTCAACTACACCCTTTTGCTGATCAAGCTGAGCCCTCAATGCATTTGCATTATCCTGTAAAATTCAAATAAAGTTTACTAATTTGAGTGAAAGCACAAAAGTAAAGCCTACTCATTATTGGCAGTTGTTTACTTGTTCCCAAAATTCCCAAATAAACATAATACTCTGTATAACATACATGCAGCCCACTCATTATAACATGCATGCAAATTTGTGTTATACGCACCCAAGAAAAAACAATACAACTTTTACAGAGAAAGGCCTCACAGCATAAGATTTCCTTCGCTTAAGAGCTTCACGCGCAAGATCCTCATCTCCCTTCCCAAGAGCAAGCTGTGCTCTACGATACCTGTAACAGAACAGATGAATAACGTTCACAGAATAGTAGCTATAAAAGAGCATAGTAAAAGTGAAAACAAGCCTCGCTTCAACAGTGGTTACCAGTCCTCACTAGCTTGTTGCGCAGCTTTGTATCTATTTTCCAACTGCTTCTGTGATGCCAAGACCTTCAAGATGAGAAAAAGAGATGATCACTAACACTTCACTTTCATATACCTAAATCAGATGAAGCAGTGAATTCAAACTCTTATTTTTGTATATGTGTCATTTATTACTTGAATCATTTAGGAAAACAATCAAAGACTCAACAAATTGAGAAACAAAGTGAGTGCCAAAATAAAGGATACCTGTGCTGTAGCTTGGCGCAGCTTTATCAAATCATTATTCATTTCTATCACTGTTTGCTCCAGGATTTTCTCTGGGTCTTCAAAGGAACTAATGATGGCATTGGCATAAGACTACATGCCAAAGAATAAAATAGAGAATAACTTCAGTGAAGTACTGATGATGTGGAAAAACAACAGAACTTGCGATCATTGTCAGCAAACAACCTTGACTACTCTGGCAAATCTGTCGAACAAATTACTGCTGGTGCTCAGGGCACCCAATTTGAATTTATTGGAATGAGGACGCTTTGCGACTGCAAGCTTTAGAGCTCCAACTGCAAGAGAAGAGACTGATTCAGAGAACATCAAACTTTATGGCTAAAGAAATTGAGAGGAAAAAATTATGATACGAGCAAAAGTACAATGGTTCCATTCAGTAATAAACACCATTCATAATGTGGTTCAGCAACAATGCCCAATGGCTTTTGCTACAACACAGTCACACAAAACTATAATAGCATAAGTTTGGTCGACTTAGAGAATTTTTAAGGCAATTTGAAAGTAATTAGCAAGGTAAAGCGATATCGAATTGATGCAAGTGCATATTGGATGGAAAAAAACCAAATGAATATATCATATTGGTTGGGGGGAGCTTATGCAAATGCAGCACATAAAATTTATGCTGTTGTTACTAAAACTAACAAGGCTCGTGCAAAAAAAATCATACCCGTAGTATATGCAAATGCAAAAATATGTGTCTTGTCTCACAACTCTTGCACTACAGCTTGTAATTTGATTCACAGTAACAATAATCTCTTTTTATGGAAGAATGATCCAACACTTAGATCGCCTTACAATAGTATAGGGTCAGATTCTCAACATTATTATTCAGTGGGATTAAATACAGCAAGTTACATTATGATATGTCAAATTCCAATGAGGCAACATCATAAGTTTCGTAACAAATAACTACCCCGGAGTATAAAGCACTGAATATGAAATGAAGACAGTACCACTCCACAGTTATGCATCATAGTGTAGAATAAAAATGTAAATCCAGCTGTATACGTTGTTTTTATTTCTTTTTAATAGTCTCACCTCTCTAAGAAAACATGTAGGTTGTTTGCTTGTTTTTGTTAGACCCTTGATGCATTGCTGCATTCGCTACTCAAAACTTCAAATGAAGTAAGAAACAAAGAAAGTTTAGAGTGTCATTCTGATTCAGCCCAATACGTACCCCGAGCTAAAAATTTGTCAATAAAGACTCTTGCATCACATACATGAAACGTCTATGAGAAGATGAAGAATTGAATAAGAGACAAAAATTGAGCCTTAATTCTGATTCAATGGGATCAGCTACCCTTAGAAACGCAATTGGTTTTCTCATTATTTATCTTCAATAGCGGCTACATCCACCTACTTCCGAATTTAGAGCCATGAATTTTCCTTAAAATATTCAAAATTACAGTACCATTGACTATGAAAGTTAAAATTCAACGCGGACCTATAAATGAATTGGTATACACCTGAATTTAATACCCCGTCGACATACAGGCCAAAAAAACACATGGGTATTTTCTACAAATAAATGCACAACTCTAACATTAGGTATAGTACACTATAGTACCTTTACGGCCAAGAAAGCAAGTTCCCAAAGATGATGCCTTCACAATCATCACTCCCCTATTGTTACACGGCGGAACCAACAGGGTTGGACCTGTGCTTATTCTTGCTATGGGTGCACTTAGAGCCATTTTCTACTCAACCAATGAAGCAAGTTCTATATCTTTACAAGGGGCAGCGTTGGTATTCTAGATTGAGATCTGAATTCGGGAAATCAATGAGAACTCTGCAAATTCAAAGAAGCAGTTAGAGTTACCGGATGGTCATATAGTTGAGGTACCCTAGCTTCATAGCATTGTTTAATTTATAACAATAAACAATGAAAGCATAACATAGTGGTAAAAAAACGAACACTACTAGACTACTCAAACCATCTAAACCAATCATGTAATACTTAAAATATTGGAATTTAATCTCCTCAATAAACAGAGACCGAATTATGCACAAATACACCATTTAAAAAGTATTCACCTTGAATCGAAACCTTGACGAAAGAAGAAGAAGAAGACGGAATTGCGCACGGGGACGACCTACCAGACTAGACGACGCAGACGCCTGGCGCGGCGGAAGACAGGCGGAGTGACGTGATGACGCGGAGGGGAGAGTCGGGCTGCTGCCTGTTCAGCTCATCGTCAGTCAGTCGGTCTTCAGAAAGAGGGCAAAGGGATATTTCACTCTTCCGTGTGTAGCGCTGCGGAGACGATAGCGGTGCAATTTTTAGATCATAACTCCTCTTGTCTCCTTTCTTCCTAATCGTACAAAAACTATCTTCCTTTCACATTCTCTTCATTTGCATTTTTTCGTTTATTTTTAATAAAACAATAGAATTAAACTATGTATATCTCAAAAATTGCATCTCATTTTATACTGAAGGCATGCACCAACATTTTATACTAGTGTAATGTTAGTGTGATAGTTTACAATGACGTAACATATCAATGTAATTTTTTTTTTGATTGAACTGGTTTTGTGCTTGTGTGAACCGTTAAAATGTTAGTGCGTCTCTGTGGGATACACTTGTTTGTGTACCCATAGCATGGTTGAAAACAATATAGTCATGTCACTTCATGTTTTTTAGATCTTTTGTGGTAATTTTTAAACATACATTTTTTTTAATTCTATACCATTTTTATATAAAATGATTTGAAAATAACTTTAATCAAACATCGTAACGCATAATGAAAAGACAATTTTTGAACGGGGAGAATGTTTGTATAAAAAAGAACATGAGTCTCCTTTCAAAATGGTCTATCATTTCAAAAAAGTAAATCGAATCATAATCACGGATTAATCATTAAAAATTGAACTTACACTTTATTGAACTTACCTTGCAAAGTACTCCGTAGTTATAAACTAGAATGTTACTCCTTCCGTCCCACTCTTTTTGTCCACTTTCATTTTTGCACACCATCCAATGCACTTCTTTAATTCATTTTATCTTGTAATTTATATATTAAAAAATTATAAAAATTACGGAGTATATATTAATAATCTATATGTTAAGACAAATCAAACAAGATCACACATGACTATTTTTAGACTTACACATTGAGAGAATTTGATGAGTCAAAGTGCTTAGATGAACAGTTCCAAAAGTCAAATGTGGACAAAAAGAGTGGGACGGAGGTAGTATCTCATAGCCTTTTGGCATTGCGTAGCTTCCAAATCATGAAATATGGAAGTCACATTACGCTTCAAAATAAAGAAGAAAATACATATCAGTTCAATCTCCTATCATTCTAATATCATGGAAGGATTAAGAACAGATATGTATCTGTCGAATATCTCTTAGAGCATGTTTAATTTGGTGAGCCAGCCTCATACGGGCCGGGTTTGGATATCTTCAATTTCAAGTTTCCAAAGTTTATGTTTGGTGAACTAAAAAAGGTGTCAATTTTGAAATCTAGAGATATAAAACTCTCTATCATCCACTTTTAATCAATTCCTTAACATACCGATATCAAATTGAAAATTTTTGATTTGGGGGTACTAGTACTGACTTGGTGAAGATCAAAGTTAGTTCTTCAATTTTTCTGATTCAATTTACCATTTTCTCTAAATAATTTATATCAGATTTCACAATCTATTTCTTTTCTTTCATATTTGAAGTCTCGTTTTATGTCTTCTTTACTCACCAAACAGGTACTTGAACTCTTCAAGAGAATTCATTACACGTCTTTGTTTTTCTCAATTTAAAAAAAAACTAAAGTTTTCTTTTAAATGGTTATGTGACATGTATAATTGGTCAAAATTTGACACACAATATGCAAAAACAAAATGACATAAAAAGAATGGAGAAAGCACTTGCCAATTTAAGGTGTTAAGAGCATTGGCAGGGGCGAGTAAAAAAATTGCATTGCCCTACAATGAGAGGAAAGCCGTTTCTTGCAACCGCGTGTGAAGAGAGAGGAGCGAATCTACCATGCGTGCCTATGAGTGAGGCACCCTGCTTTGCGAGGCATCTGCGAGGCAAACTCCAATCCCTTCGCTGCCGTTATCGCAACCCCAATCCACACCCAAACATCACCGGCCACACCACCCCAACTACCGTCCACCCTCCCAACCATCTGTTCGCCTTCGCCGGTGTGACTATCGTCAGCAATCGTCGTGATCTCTCCTCTCCCCATGAGCGAAATCGCCAGCCGATTCCTCTGGAGTGCGAAATCACCGGCCGCCTGGAAAATCGCCGGCCGATCATGAAAAATCACCCGCCGGAGTGCGAAATCGCCGGCCGATCCTGGAAAATCGTCACCTACTTGCCACCCTAAATATGCAACTTTGTCGTGCCATGCCACAATTGGAGTGGCTTGCCATTGCAAACCATGGAATGCCACACTCTTTGCACGATTAATTTTGATTGGTTGGAAGGTAACACGTCATTCCATGGCATTTCATTGCAATGCTAGCCACTATCAGTGCTCTAATAGTCTTTTTTATTGATCATGTTAGGGAGTAACATTTATTGATACATTAAAGATGACTTGATGTAATTTACATTCATTAAATATAGAAATGGAAGGAAATCACACAAAAAAGAAAATGAATGAAGTCAAGGAGTCAATATATAAAGAGGAGATGCATGGGTGGATAAATTCTTTCAAACAAATGAAAAAGGAAATTGGAAGATTAAGCTAACAACAATTTAAGTAATCAACCGATTAATCAAGACCAGAAAAGTACTCCTCAATAGCAAATTTAAGATACGAGGAGTTCAGAAATACTGGACGCAGAAATTAATTGAATGAAGCTACAAAAAAGCTTAGATCGAATTCCTCCGTCACGAATCATGCGCGCTCGTCTTCACGCCTTTTGACAGCCGCTATCGCCGAACATCGCGGCGCCGCCGCCGTCGCCTTCAATGGAACCCACTCGTACCGCCCTTCCAAGGGTAGGTCCTTCTCCACATCGTAATTGTACCTGCAACAATAACCATCCACCGTATATCAGGGTACTTGCGATGTATGCACTAGTGAGATATGGCTCTGCGGCTTACTTTTCCCTGAACAATTTTTGCTGGTACTTTTCAGAGGCCGAGAAGAACTCTTCGATCTCTGCAGCAGATGGCGTACGAACTCTGCCTCCATCTTCCAATGATGATGGTGACGATGATGATGATGATGATGAAGGTGGTTTCTCCACCGTCAATATCTCCTCCTCCTTCGAGCGTTCCATTTCTGACCAGCAGAGAATTCCGGCGGACGGCCTTATCTCCCTGCTGCAAAACAGAGCAATTCCGATCCTGAGTATACTAATTACAGAAAAATGAATCCTATTGTTTGATTCCTGCAGATTGTTTGTTCAACACAACGAGGCGTCGTATTTATAATAGCACGCAGGATTTGAACGTTCAAGATCGAGGCATCCTTCATGTGCGCATATACGCCAGAATCTGACCGTGAAATCCTCAGAGAAATACCTGAAATTGCCGTTGGAATGCGCTGTATCGTCCGTTTCGAAAACAATCTCCTGAAATTCAAAATTCAAAAACCTAAATATCCGGATTCGAGAAAATCAAAAATCACCGAGTAAAAACACATTCCAGATTTCCAGACAAGCAAATAAAGCGCAACGAGAAGCAGGAAAACCGGAAAAGCGATAAGATAAATTCGGACGATCGAGTTTAGTTTGCTGTCTTCACTCACCTTCAGATCCGAAACGCTCTCCGCCGCTAAGGTAGACTCCTCGCTCTCTGAAGAAGACGCCGGCGAAACAGATTTTCCCGGCGAGCAATAGACCTCGCAATCGCGTAACAGAGAGAAAAAAGCCTTTCTCCTCTCATCCGAACTGAACATCGTCTCCTCTCCAGCTTTTTCCCCCAAAGCAGCCACATTTCCATCTCCGGTCTCCATCACCTCTGCCATTATCCGTTCGCATCTATCCAATCACTCCTCCATCTCTCTCTCTCTCTATCTCTCTCTCTCAAAAACAGCTCTGGAAGCTGAAAACCGCCAATGGCTAATTTATATACAGGTGCGAGAAAAGCGGAGCGAACTTTCTGGCACTCACTCTCACACGCCGAAAAGTTTTCAGGAAAAAAAAAGGATCGGAGACCTAGGGCAAAACGGGAACGATGAAAAAGAGATGAAACCGATCGGAGGGTGGAGATTGAAGGAAGCGGTCATGGGACACGTGGACGGCGGAGATGAAGTGTGGTCCTCCCTCCGCTCACAGCGGCAGTGGACATGGGAATACCGTTGAGAGGGGCTATATAGCAGTGTGCATGGCAGAGAGTCATGAGAATGATTACAGATGCGTGTGGCCAATGAGTGAGCGCCACGTGGAGCGGGTAAGAAGAAGACCAGGTAAATATATTTACCAGTTCACAGTAAATTTTGTTCACCTACCTTCTATAATGGGTAAAAAACATCAAAATAACCGAATGCATTTTCTTTGGAAGGAAGGCAGAGGGCACATGTATTATTCTTTTCAGTTTTGAAAAGAACATTTATGATCATCAAACGAGAAGGTGGTACCGTTCAGAAATTATGAGCACAAAAGTGGTGCCCAAGAAAGAGTAAAAACTAAAATAAAGGTTTCTTTGTCATTTTTGGCTAAGAATCTCGCTCTCAACATGAGAACCAAATTCAATTTTAGCACTTCAAGTCACCCCAAGATGGCCATACAGTTTGAGAATTTTAGGTATTTGTAAGTTTTTTTCTGTTCTTTTATTTTCCAATGTGATACACTCATACACATGTGTGCAAATATAATTTCAAAAATCTTTCTTTTATATCAAATTATTTGTAGGTGTTGAGGGTGATATGAAGCCACTAAGATGATCATCTATAAGTATGACATTGACGGAGACCATCAAGGGCACTATTGTGGAAATACCCGGGTAGGTATCGATATATTAGTTAAAAGAAATAAATCATTTACGGAGCAATATATTCTGAATACAAATTGTTTTACCAGTATGAGCTATATATGGTGGAATGCTATTTTTCTTGTCCATTTCGATTTTCTTTAGATTCCTACATGTTGAGCAACTTCTTATTTAAATCACATTCGAATTTTTCGGTATTACAAGTGTAATCTAAGTGATACTTTCCATTTTATCACTGCTTTATGTGAACGTATAATAAGAATGATGTAAAAAGTACTCCGTAATTAATAGAAAATGCGATGTACTAAAGTACTATAGTAAATAAGTGACTTTAATCAAAAGAGAATTTTTTTAAAAATGGATTAAAAAGAAAACATGAAATGTTTGGTGAGAGGAAAAGAGTATATTCACTTTAATCGAAATCAATATAGAAAGCTTTCTTTCCATAATCATTTCTTTGCTTACTTCAATTTCGTTTTGAAGTTCTCAGTCTTGAGCAATCTTATACACATATATAAAGTCGTATGTCAGGGAAGGGAATCCTCCTGAGACATAGATTCCAACAAGTACATTTATGTGTAGAAACAAATATGATGACCCACTAAGGTGACAGAAATTTTCACCATGGAGATGGTGGGACAAGTCAAGTAATAATCCTCAGTAAAAGATAAGCAAGTGCACTTAAACTAATGACTGCCTAAGGTAAAAAGAGGTGAAGTGCACACATTTACAACGTTGGTACTCCCAATCACATGTTAGTAATTGTAATACTATGAAAAATAATAGAGTGGGGGTGGGGTAAAAAAAAATCCTTCCTATTATGAAAAAAAAAGAAAGATTACTCATTCTCATAGTGCTCTGTTGACTTGAAAGAAGTTGGGATGTTCCCTGTTGGCAGCATCAACGTCCTCTGCCGATGCCACAGCAACCACAACACCATTATCTTTTACCGCTTGGATAACATCGCCGAACTCCTTGAAATCGGACAACCTAAATGAAGAAGAAGAAAAACGGGTAATTCGTTGGATTTTGTTGGAGCTCCAATTAGTCATTTATCCAAAACAGGTTTTCATTGAGAATCAATTAACGAGTGCCAAACACTGCCTAAATTTCTTATGAGAGCCTTTAGTGGTATGCTAAGATTCAAGCTAAACAAAGTGATATTATCAAGAAAATGCAAGCAAAACCATCACAACATTAAAGCATTTCACACAAGTGAAATTCTAAACAGATGCTCACAAATAAATAAATAAAAATGAGTGTGTGTTTGTGTATACCTTGTGGATAAAATCTCTTCACATCTCTTTTCCCTTTCTTCTGCAGTAACCCCCATTAAGTATCGAAGTAAACTGAAAGAAATGAAAGCCATTAGTGTGGGAGTTTGAGGAAGGAAACAATTGACTCATCAGTCATCACTCATCATAATTAACTAATTGGGGTCCGTGACATAAACTTTATACGGAGTAGAAAAAAACTCTTGAAGATCTTACGGATTGTTAAATAGAAAAATTCTTCCCAACATTAGGGATAAGGAAGACTCTTACCTAGTATATCCTTTTGCATCAGGGAGCTGGTATGCATCAACATCACCAATTGTCCCAATAATTGCCTTTGTTAGGGCATCATCGTCCATTTCAAGTTCTTTGAGGAAATCACTTGTTCCATTATACACGTCAAGTGTTTTCATCAAATTTGGATCCCGGTAAGACAAAAACGAGAAAACGCCTGAAGAAATAGATACCAGATACTCAAAGTGCAGTGATGAAGAAATCAAACAAAGGAATAATACTTGCAAAGGACGGGCAAGAAGAAGCAATGTAATACCAGAGTGGGTGTCAAAATCACAAAACCCTCCATAAGCTCCACCACTGACTCGTACACGATCCCATAGCCAAGTATTGCTTATGTGCTTTGAAATAACATATGCACTTCCCTTGAGTTCATAACCTGCTCCATATAGATTTGCTGCCTTCCCGACATAATTTACCTGGAAACAGAGGGTGTAATTATCTATCATAATGATCAAAGGGAGCCTAGCACAGCACATCTGTGAAGCAAAATAGGAGATCAACTAACTTGAGTAGGCACAACTATAGCTTCATTTCCAGGAGAGAGTCGTCCATTCCATGTAGTAGGTTCTTGTAGAGAATTACTAGGAAGTGTATCTAGGAATGAGCTAACATGTTTATCAGCATTCATTAGAGTTTTCTGGTCAGCTGTGAGATTAACCAGGCACCCATCTTTTGAAAACAAGGATCTCCGTATCTCTTCAAGAGATGAAGAAATTTCAGGCCAATTGTTATCAACTTTCTCTTCAAGGCTTCTCAGAAATTCCAAGTAGCTGAAATCATATTAAGTGATATTATTATCCCTTATAACTTATAATAAAGCTGATAACTAGTACACAACACAACAAGCACAACAATAAACCCAATATAAGCCCAAGTCTGTTGGGGGGGTCTTGGGGGGTCAAGATATATGCAACCTTACCCTAGTAAAAGGAGAGGTTGTTTGTGCTAAACCTTTGATGCATTGTGCATTTTCTTCCCAAAACCTCATATAAAGTAATAAGCAAGAGAAGAGAAGTTTATGTGCCATTTTGATTTAGCTCATTATTTACTGTTGGCAATGGGCAGGCAATCACAACTGGCTTCATAGTTCAACATCATGGGGTGAGTACAAAAGCCAAGAAACTAAACAATTACCATTCACCAAGTCATGGTTTAGGAACTAATAATAATCAGTCTGTTCAGGCTTTTTTAAACTGATGTTGCCTCGGACAGCAAAAATTAGAAGAATAAGTGGACAAGGAGCTATGGAATATCACGCAAACCAACTACGAACCCCTCATGCACCAATTTTATATGCAGGTTGTGTTGTAGACTTGTATAATATACTCCGAAATCAGCTAATTTTAGGTTGTGGTACCATTCCCAGTTAGCAAAATATCTGACGATTAACAAACAACATCATATATCTAACCTGACACCGCCCATTTGTTCAGATAACCAGCCTGCAGCATTAAGTTTTGCATCCATCCTAGCACCTGCAATGCTATGCCCACTGCCCCTTAGACGGTTCTGGAATGAAGAGGCAAAGAATTTAGATTCTAAAAAATATCCAACATTGATAACAGAATTTTTCTCCCAAGCATAATGAAATACCTCCATTCTAGCTTTGCTTTGAGAAACAAACTGCTTGAATCGTTTTTGGTCAGTGAGTTGGACATCTTGAATGATATTGTTGATCTACAGCAGCCAATTTGAAAATATCAAATATCAATGTTACTTGCATTCTGGTCAAGTTTAATACTCCCTTGGTCCCAAAGTGAAGATAATTTTGGGAGTTCATGTCAAACTTTGACCATTAATTTCTCTTTAAGTAAACAGTCAAAAAATATATTTTTGCTATTTTTTATATTTGTGGTGAAAAGTAGGTTTATAATATATAAATTTTATGATTTTTGACAATGTATTTTAAGAGAAATTAGCATTCAAAGTTTGGCATGACTTTTCATAGAGGCTCAACATTTTGAGACGGGAAGGTAATGGGGGAATAAAAGTATTTTCATTTTTTGACACAATAAAAGAACTGATGAGATATGAGGAGCAAAGAGTACACTCAACTACAAAGTTTAAAACCTGAAATCACTTTATCAAAAGAAAATCGGCTAGTTTGAAAGAAAACTGCCAAGAGAAATCCATATACAACATATGATCAACCTACAATGTTGAGAAGATAAAACCCTAGTCAAGTCAAAGGTTATCCACCCATGGTCCCATGATAATTAGTTTCACAATTGAGTAAGTTTGGTAATGTCAACAGATCATGTGATGAAAGAGTGTACAGAAGAAATTCTAAGATGTTAGTTTTTCGACAGATAGTGGGAAAAGTTTAACTGGAAAGTTTAAGGTGATGATGAATGTGATTAATCCCTCGTAATGTCATGTGAAACATGGACTTACCAAGTTGAATAAATCTTCAGTTTTTCCAGACATGGCCTTGCCTCGAACAATCATATGGGTACAAGGATCCATTGTGCCTCGTACTGATGATGTCAAAGGGTACACTGAAATCCCTCCAGTTTTCCTTCCGATCAACTGGCTCAGCTGAACAAAGTCCATGTTCTTTGTTCCCATCTCCAGCAGTGACTGGCTATTAAGCAAATCAAAGGTCATTAAACAAAGCTACTATTTTCAAAGCATTTGAATCTTTCAGCAAGAATTAAACTCAATGTCCAAATCCAATACTCTTCGAAAATCACTCAGAAATTTACTACCCTAGAAAACAATTCTTCCAAGTTCCAATCTAAATGTATCTACATTGCTATATGATCAATAATTTAATAATTTACTATAATTCAACATGCAAAGCATTGGATTTCAATATCGTTATATACTACGTACTTATTAACTTATATGACTATATCATAATACCCATTAAGAAAAACTTGACGAGGCCTGTCATAAAACATACACCAGGATAACTAGAACATAAATAAATAATGACATTTGTGATCTTGCACTAATGAGAACAAAATCCTTGCAGCCCTTGCTTTAAAATGTACGGCGTATATTAAGATTTCAAATGTACGGCGTGGATTGTGAAGACACTATATATCTCACTGTGTAATAATGTAAAGCCTACAAGACAAAGAAGAAATGATTACTTAAGTGGGCAACTCACCAGAAAAGTGGAAGCAACGGGACAAGCTCTGGC